GGGGCATTGTTTACGAGTCTTTTGCTCCGTCCGTCGCGCCATTTCCTGTGGTTGGGCCTCTCGGGTGGGGGCATGTTTGGTATTGCAACGTAGTGCGGGGTTCTTTTTGTCGAGATGCGGCGCAACAATGCTACGCCTCATTCTACTGGCTCGAGGCTCTACTTTGTGAAAATATGAGGGTCTTCCGGCAACTTTGAATGCAAAAGACGCGAATGCAAAGGACGCAACCAGACCAGATGCGCTTTTTTTAGATGGCTCATCGGAACTCCTCAGGAACCCTACTGGTCAGCTTTTGCCGTGTTTGGAACGTCGTGCCACAGACCGCCTAAACAGTATGCCCAACAGAAACGGGGACCTTGCCAAATGGGAGAGATCCTGCAAGCTCCTATAGTGACTCTTCATGCAGAGGCGTTATTTCCACGCCTTTAGGCAGTCTCTACTTCAGATAGCAGCTTCGCAGTTGAACATCCGCATCAAAAGCTAGTTTATCTGTAGCATTTTGCGGAACGCCTTAGCAGTGCAGCCTCCAAGAAAAAGACGCTCATCTTACTCCGACGTGGAAAGTCCGTACAATCAATCTCTCACACTGTGCAGCATGTTGATGGTGACACTGCTCATTCTGTTACGGATGATTATTCGCTTCCAATATAGGGGAAACACAAAAATGTACAGATCATTGCCTTCATTACACATATGCTATATTGGCAGTGAGTCGGGAAATGATTTAATATGGACATATTTGATGCCTTGGCTAGTCCGTGGGAAGCTAGTGCCAACGAAACACAACGAACATCCGTTCTGGAACAAAGGATCAAGCGGGCCAGTTAGGGAATAAAGGGCCCAAAGAAAAAGTAGATTTCTACTAACGAGGCCGAAGTACAACAAGGAATGGGGTAAAACGTGTTTCGCTTGTGGTGAAAGGTCGAAAGAAGTAATAGGGCTTGAACATGACATGGAAATGGCCAAATCGACTGTGGGTTTGCATTACCGGAATGTCCGGTGCTACTGCAATCACCAGCCCTGGAGTGAAATCATGGGGAGCCTCACTAATTCAGAATCACTGGAGCATGAGCACTGGAGCGTGGCTTGCCTGTATGAAGTTGGCACATTTATTTCTACGTGCGTGCAGGTTGGTAGAGCGTCAACAAAGCATTAAATAATTGCGCATAATGCGGGTGAAATCGTCAAAGGGAAATGGCAACGCTTATGTGTAGTTCTGCTTCGGAACAGTAGTTGCAAGACGGCCCGTGGCAGCACACGACCAGTGGGTCCCTCTCAGCACAAGCGTTGAGCCCTTGGGCCGCTGCGTCCAGGACCCCTGGAAAGTGGAAGGAATGCCAGTTGCTTTCGTGAATTCTTTATCGCACGTATTTTGATCCCACAGCAGCGCACGGCGGCACTGCGCTAAGTACCGAAGACTCCCGTTCCAGCTATGCAGAAGAAGCCTGGACACTAGAGGTGAGGCCACCTGCTGCTGGCGAACTTTTCCCTCCGGCCTTTTGACTATCTTACTGCTCGCGGCTGTCCTCGGATCAAACCGAAGGCTCTCGTAGCAACGCCGCAACCGTACGTCGGAACTGCTGAAATGATGCGTGCTCGCCTTTAGGCTAGGCTGCTCACCCTGTACTACGGATAGTCCAGCAACTAGTTTTTCAATGCAGGATTGCCAAAGGAATGCGACCCAAATCATTCTGCATGCGTAGTTTGCCAGCCCATGCCACTCACTAGCTTCAGCCGCTGTTGGCCAGAGGAGTTTGCCTTACCCAATGGACCAGCCAGTCCCCACGAGGCGATTCCTTATTTCCGCCGCTCTAGCTGGTAATCTCCAGTATACTTGGCAACCGAATATTCCTATCCCTGGTCGCAGATAGCATCGTGGGCTTGGCTTGCTTTCCGTCTCGAGGCGAGAACGCAGGCGATACAATATCTCTGCAACGAATCCAGCCCCAGACATTGCCAGCGAACTCGACAAGTGGATCTACCGTGGCGTAGAAAATTAGTTGTTTTGGAATCCAGTCAAGAATCCTATTTCTGTAGGGGTTTTCTGAAGTTTGGACTATCAGGCCATTGTGGTTTACTCGTAGCGAGATATGGTCACCTACGCTTCCTTATGAGGTCTCGCCATCTTGCTTCAGTAGTAGTGAGCAGATTGAAGGATCTCAAGCTACCACCTGCTTATTTGAGCACCATTTGAATTGGTCCACTCCGCATTTCTCCTTGAAGGCTCAAAACGTGGGTTGTATGTCAAAGAGGCTAGCATTTACCCAGAACCCCGGGAGCATAACCAGCATCAGGTGGATGGAACAACCACACAGCTCACAGCCCATGTGGGACTCTTGGGATCTAATGGCAGGGTTTACTGAGGGTGCGGGACATGGGTTGTCGTTGCCTCCCGCTGCACTGAGGAGGGAACGAGCACGTGGAGTCCAGCACGGCGGTTCGTCCAGCTCGCTTCACCGCAAGGGGCACAAAGGCCCTGTTGCCGTTGCTCTTGCTGCATTTGCTTCAGTTGTTGCTGTCCTTTTCCTGGTGTTCCATTGTGTCGTCGCGTTGAGTAGGGAAGCGCTACCAATACGCGTGGAACGAGCGTTGGCTGGAGAACGCGAGAAAAAGGGGGATGGGAGTGGAGATGTCATTCCAAAAGTATGCGGGTTGGGAAGATTCCAATCAGCCACAGCTACCCACAGCCGCAGGAGGTCACGAGAACATTTAGGGGTGGATTCCATTGAAGAGGGGAGTGAGGATGCGTGGGAACCGTCGAAGACGCTGAGGCAGGAAGCGTTAGGGTGGGAACGGGATACTTCGCGCAGCCCTTTCCATGTTATCGCGCGTGCAGAAGAGTCTACAGAAGAGGAAGAGGCCGCTCAAAACCTTCGCCAATCAATCCTGACATATGTAGAGCGAACGCTGGCTGAAAAGGATCCAGGAGTACAAGAGGAAGACTGGCTGCCAAACCCCTTCGAGGAGTTGCAGTTTTCAGAAGAAATGGAGGCTACGCAATCGCTTTTCACTGTAGGGTCCCACGCCGCAAAGCCTCTCGTTGAGTCTGCCACCTCTGGGTTTACTGGCGTTGCCACAGGGCCTCGCGCTGAGTCAGTCACGTTCGGGCTTATTCCTATGGGCACAGGGCCTAGGGCTGAGTCGGCAACCTCCAGGATTACTACTGTATCACAACTTTGGCCCGAAGAGGGTACCGCTGGTAGTGCTTCACAAGGCGAAGGATCAACGCAATGCAGCAAAGTGACCTCAGGTTCAATACGTCCGTATTTAGACTCACAGGCGTCTTCCCAGGGACCAATCCGCATGACGCCAGGACAACAGTTGCCTGCTGTGCAAAGCTTAAGCAAAAAGCCTCTTGTCTTCAGGTACATCGTCGGCCAACCGGGCACCAAAGGAGCGTATATGCTCCAGCTTCGCAAGCTTTTAAATTGGCAGGTGCGTCGTCGAATGCGTTGTTATGCTCCCGCCTGACTCCTACATAGGCTCAAACGACGAAAATCAGCGAGTTTTTCTAGGAAGCCAGAAACCGCACGCGCACACACAGACTGTGCAGCGCCCTATGTGATGGATCCGACAGGTGTAAGCAGATGGACACTGTTGCACAGCATAGCCTGAAAGTGCCCGTGTCCAACTTGCATTGGATTTTTGCCGTTGGATGTTGCGTTCCTTTGTTCAACATACATTGGCGTGCTTACCTCTGTTTTTAATGCATGTGGCTACGACGTTGTGTGACGTGCCCATCAAATTGTTCGCTAGGAAGGGCCAGCCCTGGCAATCGCCTCTGTTCCTCTTCCAGCCACGCCAGTGTCAGGGCAGACACCGCGCGAAGTGGACATCACAACGCACCCCTACTTCAGGCTCCCAAGCGTTGCACCTGATGCTTCGGTGAGAGATATAATAATTAAACCTTGGTCGCTGCTTCGCCGGAGGACATCATGTGAAAGCGCAACACTGTTGAGGATTAGAGAACTGCTAAAGAAACCAGTGCTGGACTCGACCGGCCTCGAGCGTCTCATGCAAAACCTCGAGCAGCTGGTCGAGTATGCTGCATTCCGTACGAAGCAGAACATAGACGGTTTGAAACCCAAACATATTGTGGAGAAACTGGGGTTTGAATTGCTGGCGATGGATGGACTCCATTCGGCTAGCGAGGTACTAGGAGCAAACGCCAAGCGCTCAGAATGGTGGCAACGAGTCGTAGACACACTTCCAGTTTATACAGGGCCGACGGAATCTGCTGCTTCTCGTGCCACAGCGCAGCAGAATATTCTTTTGACTCGTTTTTTGCAGCATGCTTTGGCGTTTTACAGATGTGGCTCCCGCCCCCCAGCATCGCTTTTGGTTCCGTTGAAGCAATTTCTTCTGTGCACGCCTGCTGTGCCGCCCTTCAGGAGAAAACCATGGGTGGATTTCGTGGCTGATGATACTGAGTGGCAACAGTCCCTATGATGCCTCGTTTTGAACGAAGGCGGCATCGACGGAAACATAGGAGTAAATAAACTGTCATGCTGCACGATACGCCACCTTTCCTCGCTGGGCGAATGTTCCAGAAGTAGAATTAACGCGCTGTCAGTGCTTTTGCTGGGTGTTATCCCATCTCGGCGCCTCGAGCGTGAGGACGTGCTTTATTGCAGGATTTGCAATGTCAACAGTTAACACCAAAGGAGCTCTGCACAAAAAGACTTGAGAGCTTAGGGCTCAACTGTCATCAGCAGGAATAATTTCCGATATTTTGCTGCTTTTGGTGTGTTGGATGCTTCTGATTTTTGCGAGGTCACCACAATATTGTAACTTGTAGCCCACATAGCACCTTCGTCTGATCAGAAATGCACGAGCTCTCCTTTGATCCAGAAAAGTATGAGGCGTCAAACAAACTTCACAGTAGGTTCGATTGAATTTGTTTGCTTAGGTCCCATTAACGTCCTATGGTGCGAACCTGTTTTCCCATTAGGTCAGTTGCGCCCGTCACTCTACGTTGTGTTTCTGCAGGAGAACCAGTTTCGTAGGGAAGATCTGGAAAGGGTTAAGTGCGTATACAACTTGTTCCCTGCCGAAAAACATGCTGCGCTTAACTCTACTCGAAGCTGTAGTGAGTTTGTACGGAAAACCACAATGCGCCTAGATAGTGGGCAGTTGACTGCTATGCAGTCTCTTGATGGGCGAAGATTTGGCATGCTGGTATGCAGCATGGCTTGTATGGTGTTGGCACCTGCAATTCAACACGCATTTTGGCTGGTTACTCGTGCATGGCAAAACACACGTTGAACAGTTGCCTACAGTCTTAATACATGCAGCAAAGGCAACTCCGATGTGCTTGCATTTCTCGTGGCTCTGCCGTACTAGTTGCAGCACGGTGCGTTAAAACTCATTTCAGGCCGTCGCCTCTTGCACCAGCCCTTCACCCATCTCCGTTCAACCGAGGATGGCTGCGGAGTGGACGGGGGGTCAGCATCTCCCTATAGGCACTCATCTTAAGTCGGACACTTGCGCAACTCACGCAGGCCCCTCTCCTACCATCCACGACCCTTGCTACACCAACTTAATGCAGACCATGCTACACCACATAAAGCTTCGAGTGCGTCGAGTGCGATCCGCATTCAACTGTCACGCAGCCACCCATACATGAGCAACACACTCGCCGAACGCCATAAACTGCAACTTCAGATGCAACTATAACGCCGCCGGGGGCCCACTTCAGTGGTAGATGTAAGTACCAGGCTCTCATCTACCTGCTAGTCAGGGATTTTGCCGGTTCATGTGGAAGGTCGAGTGAACAACCTCCTTTGATCGTATGTACAACGCCTAAGACGTTGATTTGCTGCGTAGGTTGGTCTACTGCTTAGTTGATTGCAGGCTCTTATGGCGTGCCGCAACCATGCTCGCAGTCCCCCTCCAGCCCCAGTCGTTGCCTCTGCGCCGTGATGGCGGGGTGCAGTGGCCATTTCAAAGCAATATGGAACAGTGAGGCACACACTTTATCTTCATTTTGCCCCAATCTGAATCTTTCATCTTGAATTGAATTCCTTGTGCAGTGCTTCACTCTCCATGTGGGGCCGCGCCCGCGATGCAGCTTGGAATGCATGCAGTATCGACGGCAGCTTCGTTCTCGTCCGCAAATAGTTCCGAGGAACGGCCAAGTACTTTTTTCTTAAATCGAAGACTTAATACTTAGCAGGGATTTCTGCCGCATACTCTGATGGTCCAAAAAGAAACAGTGCCCGCCACGCGGACGGCACGTGCTGGAGGGGCGGCGGCAGGCGCCGCAAAATCAGCAACTCCGTCAGGAAAGAGTTTAAGAAGAACATCAAACAAAAGGGCAGCTTCTGGATTGATACCAGGAAAGGATGATGGTCTTGCTAATGGGGTGGCGACTGAGCAGCTGAAGCAACGGAAGAAGCCGCGACTGCAGCACCAGAGAGAGCAGCGGAAGCTGACACGAATCCAGGTAAAGCAACAGCAGGAACATTATGAGCAGGAAAAAGTGCAGGAAAGTGGCCAGCAGGAGCAAGGGCAGCCATTGCACCCGCAGCAGCTGGCAAAGCGGCAGCACCGACAAGGCCATCCTCACAAGCGGCAAGAGCTCCTCATGGACGAATGCGAGGAACAGCATTTGGCCACTGAAGATGAAGTTCCTGCAGAGAGAGAAGCATTTCCATTGACAGAAATAACAACAGAACCACCCGCATCCACATTGCCTGACTCTGCATGTGAAGGCGCCCAAGAACTCGACAGAGCAGCAGCAATCGACGCAGCAGCTGCAGCGGATCCTTACCTGCTAGAGGATGCGGATTACCTTCGGCGAGAAACGCGGTGGCTAAATCGCCAACGCGTTTTGCTGCTGGGTAGCCGAGGGATTTCAGCCAGGTCGCGCCACCTCATCGAAGACTTTAAGAAGCTCCTCCCTCACCACAAGTCAGAGGCAAGCGCAAAATCTTAGAGAAGCTGCAAACTGAGCCCCTGTAACACGTTTGTTAGCGCTCAATGTAAAAGGGCTAGGCACCAAACTGTTAGCTCTCGCAAGGGCTGGATGATTTAAGGTGCCGGGCCTACGACGAAGGATTTGTGTCGCTACAGACAAAGTGGGAAAGGAAAGAAAAACTCCAAAGCATCGCCGAACTCTGCCAGTTGCGATCGTACGTTGCTGTTGCTGGTGATGCCCCTCTGTTGCCGCCGCGGCTCCCCCTACTGTCTAGGCGTAGCAATTAATGGACCTGCTTTTGCAACCATCCTCTCTATTGCTGTGGCTGCTGCAGGTGTAACAGTGTGGTTTATTTAGAGCAACGAAAGAATGACGCGCTGCTACATGTTGTCAAAGTGCCCCTTGGACCTACTTTCATCGCCAGGCTGATGAACGGTAGGGTTGAGGGTTTGTCTCCTTGGCTTTAACCCTTGGCTTTAACCCTTCAAGATTTCGCATGTCTTTCCGATCTCTTTAGGGTTCGGGGTGTAGTGCATAGGGTATGTGTTTCAGTGGAGACTCTCAACGAGGTGCGCTTGTCGGGCAACTGCTTGTTGCATTCTCGGCCACTACTGATATTCGGGGTGGAGTTTGACAGAGAGCCTCACTTTCGGGTCTTGAAGGAACTTTTCATGCAGGTGGGGCCCGAAGTTTGGGCTTCGGCATAAGTCAAGAGCCCAGTTATGAACGAGGCAAATAATATAGGGTTTGGATTGAGTCTACAGGGTCTTGGGGCTACGGCTCTTCGCGGTGTCGAAGAGAGGTGGGGCAGAACCCTTGCAGGAGACTAGGGTGTAGGTTTTGGGTTTCGGATTTCTGTTCAGGTGTTTGGAACTCCAAGAAATCACCCCAGGTCCAAGCCATTCTTTGATCATGCCATGTCTTTCTTTGTGACTGACAACCGCATTTGGTTCAGGCATTACCAGGTAAGCTAGTGCCAGTCCTGTGGGTGTGAAGCTCAGGCATGGGTTTGGATGTTTTCGTTGCAGCTGCTTGTGGGTACAGCCAGTTGTGATCTTTGGGGGTTTTGTTAATCTTCAGATTGCGCCGCTGGTAATGGGCGAGGGGGGGGATGCAAATAACCCCCACGGGCAGACTTTCATCGAGATCGGTACGATGCAGGACTTAGGGGTAAAGGGTTTTCTAGCATATATGCGTTTTAGAGTGCAGGGAGTAAAGTATGGGCCAGACTGTTAGGATTTCGGGGCGAATATTTGTGGTTCAGGGCCCCGCTTTGTACTGGACCCGGTTAAGATTCTCGAGGGCAGTTTCTGCGGGAAAACCCTTTGGCGCAATGCGGAGTTCGTGAGGACGAGAAACGTGAGTCGGCACAGACTGGACCCTCGAACCTTAAACCATGCTTTACATGCTGAGACGTCGAACCCTTAACTCTAGTGACGACGCTTTGCATTGCACAAAAGCAGCGTTGGCGGCGTCTCGGGTTCTGTCGAAGGGCGGCCTGGTTAGGTGCCGAGTAGGCTGAGTTTCTCTCGAGGTTTGAGGATATAGGTTTATTTCTAAGGGTTTGTGGCCATGCAGTTGATGAGGCCGCGTCGACTTAGGGAAGCTTTGGACTTCGCAAGGCGGCAGGGGCAAAAGGAGAAGCGAAGGGTAACCTCAAACTTTTATTGTAGAGCGCCAGGCGTTGAGCTGTCGAAGTGGGATGCAGAAGCAGCGCAAGCGTCTCTGAAGAGTCATTTGCTACTCGCAGTTTCAGGGTTAAAAGTATAGGGCGTAGCCATTACGGTTTGTTGTTTGTGGCCGGCGCAGCTGTATCTTGAATCGATGCTGGAGAGCGAGCCCAGGAACAAACTGGCGACAGAAGAAGTTTTCGGGACTGATGCAATGAAGAAGAAACATAACCATAAATTGCGTAACCGCCGATCGCAAGGCTCAAAGGCTTAAGTCCTTAAGCTCTGAACGAGCAGTTTTGCGAGGATAAGGACGAATCATACGCGTTTGCTGTGGCGCTAGATTTTACGATTTCCGTCAATGGGTTGAATCTTTGTACTTGACAGTTTTGTACTGCACGAAGGTAGGTGGCTGTGTGGTTGTTGATGCCGCATTGAGACGACCAGAAACGACACCACAGTACTAAGCATTCGGTGTTTTTAGCGGGCCAGGGAGCGCAACACGCCTTCCGAAAGGAACGGGGTTGGGAGGCTCCCGGGTTTGGCGTGCGGAAGTACAGTCATGGGAGCCAGTATAATAGGACATATGGGGCTTGTTCTTGGTTTTTGTTGGTCTCAAACGTACAACCTACCCAGTCGGAGGCGCTACAGTAACAGCGGCGAGTGCGGCGCTGCAGAATCATGAGAAATGCCAGCGCTGATGGTTCGAGTAACCCCATGGGTGGCCTTGCATTAAGGAATGGTGGATTTTCCGTTACCATTCGATTGGAAGGCTTGGCGCTCACGTATGAGGTAGTGCGATTGGGGGGTTCAGGCACGAAGGTGAAGTGACCCCACGCCCGCCCGGATCGAGGGACGGGCCAGGGGATGGGTCGAGCCTGTTCCATCTCTAAGTTGAAAACGATTTTAGACATTGTGAATGCATATAATTCAACAGATTAAACACAAATTTTCATTTGGGGGGGGTGCATCGGAAGTTCCGCATTTACTGACCGCGCATGGAAGTAGCCGTTGCCGACACACTAGAGGGCTGTTAACCTGTACGTACTCAGGGCGATGGAACTAGACTTTACGGATCCTGGACACAAAAATATCTTTCTCTCAGGTAGCGGTGGAAGGACTATGAGTTGGGTGTTAGGGTTTCATGAGTTCAGGATTTGACGGGGCTAGAGGGCGTGCGCCAAACAAGGACGGTGCAGTACACTACGGCAAAATGAAACCCCAGGGCCTGAAGGCTACTTTTTTTTTGGAACAGATCCATAAACTTAAGTATTACGCCTAAGCCTCATGTCATTACTCGGCAACCGAGTCGCTAGCCAGGCAGCGACTCCGTCACCAGCACCCGCAGGGGGCTTCGCAGCATCAACGGCGGCAGCACCAAAATTCGCATGGAAGGTAGCAGCGGTAGCAATAAACGTAGCAGCAACAGCAGCTGCGCCAGTAACCGCAGCAACAGGCAGGCACGTCTTTTCTGGCGGTCTTTACCCCTTGCTTCTCTGATCACGCCATTCTCACAGGCACGGGAAAAGGGCAAAAAGACGAAAAGCGACAAGGAAAACAAGATTATTGAAACTGCGGGAGTTGCAAGCGAAAAAATTAGGCGAAGATACAAGCGAGACGAAGGCATGCACACTGATAGAGAGGGCCAGAGAAAGGAAAGAGAACTCTGTAGTTTCAGTTGTCGAGGACCACTTGGAGGCTTCTTAGTTCCTTACGTTAAGGAGCAAGAGGAGCAGCAAAAGGAGATACAGCTACAGCCTCGTACTTTAACAACTGTCAGCAGCAACAGCAGCAACAACGGCACTCTACATACCATTGAGCCCCCTCAGCGTATTTCTCTGCGCTTGCCTATCAACACTTGGGATCGAAAAACCCCAGAGGTTTCTCCCGCTACTTCAGTTGCAGGTTCTGCTTCTGGAGTTACTTCTCCTGCATTGTTTCCTGTTGCTGCCTCCACTGGTGCAACTCGACTAAGGAAAGAATCCGCCCCTTCTCAGGCCAAGGAGTTATTAAAATTGGAATTGCTCATGGAGCTTCCAGACAGAGCAGCAGCAGCCAGGATCGATGGAAATGCTGCAGCTGAAGCAACAGGAATTGTTGTAACATTAACTGGTAACAGCAGGGATAGGGGTGCCAACGGCTCCTCACGACAACTGTGGGGGGGCTCTCAGTCAGCCATGGCATCTACAGTACCCCCATCTGCAGCAGCAGCAACAGGAACAGAAGCAGCATCAGGAGCAATACGGCACTCTCCCAGGACGCTACATCAACAACGACTGCCAGCTGGGACGGCGGCAACAAACGCAGCTCTTGCTTCAGCAAGGCGCCGGGTGCTCGTGAAGCAGCAGCAACTTCTGGACTATCTGGATTGCATATCGGCGGGAGAGCGGCTGCTAAGAGAAATTCAGCAGCAGCAACAGTGTCCCAAGCGGCCCACAGCCCTCAGCAGGCTGACGGGGGTGTTACCGCAGCAGCAGCAACACCCCGAGGAGCTGAGACAGCAAAGGGAACAAGAGCTTATGCGGCTCCTGTGGGGCCGCTCTGAAGTGCAAACCAAGCAAAAACAGGAACCGGTGAGCAAGCGGCAGCAGAAGCAGCAGCAGCGCTTGAAGGGCACCAAACGGCAACTTCCAACGAGCGCCTTGCAACGGCTTTTCTTTAGATTGCAGCGCAAGATGAAGCAGCTAGAACTGGTGCAAGACCGGCAGTCAGCTGCTCAACAGCTGGGCAAGGACCCAGCGAAGCTAAGATCGCTGCCTCGTGAGCGCAAGCAGGAGCAGCAGCATCGGGAGCAGCAACAACAAGGGCAAAAGCTGCAGGAATGCCAACAACAGCTGCAGAACGAGCAGCAAAACCCACTGGAGCAGCCACAGCCCCCACAACAGCAGCAGCACCACCAACTACAGCAGAAGGGATGGCGACAACAGCAACAGCAAATGACTTGGGGGTTCGCACAACATCAACAGGAGCTGCTGCAGCGTGGATTTGGAGGCTGCACATTTCTGACTGCTTGTGAAGATACTGGCGGCCAACCAGTTTCTGCTGCTGCTGCTGCTGCCCCTGCTAATGCCCATGCTGCTCATCGTGCAAATCTTGCCGACTTTTCACCTGCAAGTGTTGGTGTTGCAGCATCGGCTAGCGTTGTTCTTCCTGCTGCAAGCGCGGCACAAAAATGTGCTGGAATAGCCCCGCCGCCTCCAGTGGTAGACGCAATAAAGGATGTTGCTGCTGCTGCTCGTTTGGCCAGGCCTGCAGCTGCAGATCACACTCAGCTTGCTCGTGATGCAACGAATGTTCCAACTGCTGCCATTGCTATCGCTGCTCTGAATGCTGTTTCTACCCCTGTTAACGCCTCGGGTGCTCCTACTAATGCTGCTACCCCTCCTGTGCACCTCCTTGAAGGACCAACACAATCTGCAACAGGCAGCTGCTTTAGCAGCCGAAACAACAGTAGGAAGTGCCTGCTGCAGCAGCAGACAAAAGGACAACAACCGCAGCAACAAGACCTCTGCATGCGTCTGTTGGATGGGCAGATCGAGGTTTTTCATCAGCTTCTGCAGATCTCCAAATGTGCAACGTTATTGTTTAAAACCCTAAAACATTTTAAAGATGCACTCCACCGGAACTCCAACAGCAGCTGAAAGAGGAGCACCAGCAGCGCCTCCCCGTTCCCCTGATATTATTTTTGCTGCATTATCTTGTTTTTTGCTGCTGCGTTTGCTCATGCAACTGGTTCTGATGCTGTTGCGGTTTTTGTGCGAGGTTGCAGCAGCACCTCATTCTTTGGCGACAGCCCGGCGGCAGCAGCTGCAGCAGCTTGTCGCCTCCAGGACAGAAACTTTGGTGCACATTGGGGTGGTTTTAGCGTCAGCGGCAGCAAGGTGTGACAAGCTTACGGCTGCTAGAGAGGCGTTCAAAGAGGTATGGGAACATAACGCACTACATCCTAGACCGTAAACTTGCGGAAAAAGAATGGCCGCACTTGGCCAAGCCAGTAGCAGTATGCTGCTTCTGCTCCAGCTACTGCGGCGGTTTTGCTCCCGCCGCTGCAGCACGTGCGCAGCAACGGACCAAGGCTACGCCGCAACGTAATAAACGGGCAGGCGAGCAACAAAAGTCTTCGAGTGTACAAGCACCGAGCAGCAGCAGCAACACGAAAGGCTGAGAAACTCCAAGTAGAAGAAGAAACAGCAGCGGCAATTGAGGAACAGCTGCAACGGGAAGCTGAGGCGTTACTGCCCTACAAGTCAGTATATGGCTTAGGGGTTTGTGATGACTGCAACAAGGATTCACTCACTCGGAGCTAGAATACAGGGATTAATATGTATGCTTTTGTGAGCTAGACTGTTCTTGCTACGATTAAGTGGAGTGTATGGAGACCCGCTAACTCTCCTCAGGCGGCTGCGCTGCCTAAAGCTGACGCGGAAGGAGCTGCAGCAGCACAATGCTAGTATTATCAGTATAATGAACCCTTCCAACCTGCTTCCCATAGCAAATATGCCGTCCACGGCAAAAGCATGGAAGACTTTACATGGAATTGAAAAACCCTCAGGCGCTGTCGAAGATGTAGGATGCAGGATGTTGCACTTAGTTGTGGTGGTCTAGTTTTAGGGTTTGGTATTTGCAGGGAAAATAGAGCAGAGCCGAGCCGCCCTTGTAAATTTCAAGAGCCGGGCATTGCAAGAAGAGGAGGAGCACTTGGCAACACTTAGTATACCCTCGTCCCGACACCCTAAAGCCCAAACCGCTTACTCCAAACCTTCAAATCACTCAGCAACGCTGAAGTCTGGCACCCTCTCGTTCACCAAGAGTATGTGAAGTGCGGGGCACTCCTCCCACAGATACACCCTAAATCCTTAGCCAGCGCCTGGTTGTTTCGTATTGTAGGGAATATATTCCAAGAGCTGGAGACAGCGCAGATGACCGCGGACGGGCTTGAGGCCGCAGCAGAAGAGGCGAACAGAAGACACAGAGACGCTGCTGGGGCATTGGGTCTTCTATGTCAGAAAACCAATAACATGTTCCATGTAAACCGTGTACAATAAGCACTAGGTCTTTGCCTTAAAACCAGAACTGTGTCATGGTTATTCCGTACCAGCGTGCAAACAGTGGACTTATTTCCACATATAATTGTTAAACTGCAGACATACGATTCGGGGGTTGCTCAGAAATATGCGCAAAATCTCCCGGTCTTCCGCCTGTATGCCGTGGGTATTCAAAAGGCAGCAGCAGCTGCTGCTGCTGCAGCTAAAGGAGCTGCAGTACGCCGAGGTTCGCAAAATCAGCTGCCCGTACAGGCGACGGACTTCTTCGTCGCTCAGCAGCAGCTGTTGCGGCTGAGGGACTTTATCGAAAAGTTGGAGGCTGTATTGCAAGACCTCCAAGAGGACACGAAGAAAAGTGGGTCTGCAAGAACACAGGCACCAGCGCAATGCTACACTGCCGCAGCTCAAGCTTCCGCTTCATGCCGCAAAGGAAGTTTATGGCTGCCACATGCTCATGCATGCTTTTCCCCGCATGCATTTTCCTTTGCTGCTTCTCTCCCTCTCTGCAGCACGGCGTGCTGCCATCCGGCAGTCTTCCCCCGGCGGCAAGAACTCTTCTTCATTTGCTGCTGGTGCTGTTGTTGCTGCTGCCGGCTGTGGCGGGACACCCGCAGCGTCTCAGGACTACCAGCCGAACAGTGAATGCAGGGATATCGTAGAGTTTGTGCGGGAACGAAGGAAAAAAAACCTGTGGTCAAGCACAGTTTACAAGGATAGCTGCAGTTTTTCAAAGGCCACTGTAGCCATCTCACAGGCAACAGGAACACCCACAGTTGCTGCTGCTGCCCCTCCATCACTGCGTCGCATTTCCGCTGATATAACCAGTAGGAAAACAGGAAGACACGTGAGACTTACGTCTTTGCCCAGCCGACGAGAGGGCCGTGCTCATCTAGGAAGAACCCTAAGCCCTACGCCCTGAAGCCGACCGATCGAGCCGCAGGGGCTTTCGGCGAGCGATAAAAGGCGAGGCAAACAAACGCACGCGGTGTGGAGTTCTACTAAAACTAAATTTCAGTGTTTACAGCTCAGGATTCCTGTGCCTCTACGTTGGGTGTGTAACCCGACCCGGAGGCACGCAAAGGTTGAGTTCTTGGGGTATAAGCCATCCAGCTGAGTTAGGCTTCCTGAAGCGAACAAAGTGCTAAATTGTGTTTTCTGAATAACCAACAACCATGCCAACACTGTAATAGAAGAATAATCAGCATCGCACAGGTATTCGGGGTTATAGTGTATTAATCTGTGGCAAGACAGCCGTTTTGTCAGGGCCCCGCTCGGTGTGGGGCCCCCAGAGAACTCTTAAGCCTAAGGCGTAAACCCTAAACTCAAATGCCTAAGCTCTTGCTACTAAGCATAAATACCAAGAGCTTATGCCTCCAATCCCAATCTAAGCTGGCTTGCCTACTGTAAAGTTAAACCCATCGTGTATGGCCTGACATATCCCAGCCTGCGACAGAATGGACCCAGAAGGGCGCCTGCAGTCCCACACCGCGATGGGCCTGTCCACCCACCAGTTCTCAAATTGCCTACATCAGCAACAGCAGTACCTGGAACGTGAACAGCCTCCAGGGTTCGCAGCGCTGTTGCAGCAGCCGCTACTGCAGCCGGTTTATGAGGCACAACAGCTGCAACAGCTGCAGCAGCAAGGGCGGGCCTTTGCTGTGGCGCCAGTAAAGGGGCCAAATGGTGAAGACAGGGGTTTAGGGTTCGTAGCTCTTCGCGATTTACCCGCGGGGTTCGTGGTGTATGAGGACTTCCCTCTGCTGTCTCTACAGCACAGCGTCAACAAGTGCCTCGTCAAGGCTTGCTGCCGCTGCAGAGCACCTTTAGGAGACGCCGTATTTCAGCTGCTGCACTTCTTCTCTGCGGTTCCCGAGTCATACCGTCGCATGCAGTCCCTCCTCAGCATCAACAGAGACTGGCTACTGCGGCTCCAGCAGGAGCAGCAGCAGCAGGAAGTCGTCCCTTGCCCTGCCGGTTGCGGGGAAGCGTTTTGCTCCGTGCGGTGTCTGGATAGCGACGCCATCCATCGGCAGCTGTGCGTTGGCCGCCTGAGTGAAGAGGCACCGTTGGTTGCCTTCAAACGCTTTGCTCTAGAGCACTGTGAGAACCTGTTGTTGGCGGCTGCAGCCATTGTGTCAGCAGCAGCCGCTGCAGCCGCACAACCAGGAGACATGGCATCAAACGAAGCAGAGGTTGCTGCTGCTGCCTTGCAGCTGCTGCGGTTGCTGCTGCAGCATCAGCACGGACAGTGGCAGGAGGAGAACGAGCCAACCACAAGGGTTCGATTGATGGAAGAGGAAATGGATGAGGAGACCGAGGAAGAGACAGAGCTGAGCCGAAAAGATATTGTTGAAAGAGGGTCAAGTCTGCTGCTGTTGGGCTTGCAGGAGTTATCTGCAGCGTATGTCCACCTCATATCGCCATCCCTTGTTTCTGAATTGCTGTCGCTCTTCGAGCATTGCAATTCAGACTTGGAGGTTCCGAACCCTCTAAATGCATTTTTTGGTTTTTGTTTATCGGGGGCCAAAGTTGGCGGGGCAGAGGAATTGCAGCTTCTCCTGGCAGAGAAAGAAGCGGCCCTCGCTGATCTCTTCGGGGAGGAGCACGAGGACGATGACGCAAACAGCAACGAAGGCATCAGCCAAAGTCTCCAAACCACGCATACAGAAGCAGCGGGGGAGGCGCAGGAATTGCGGAAGCTGTATGTGAGCAAGCCTTTGTCTCTCCTTTGCCCTCCTCCAATAGGAAGGGGCCGTCCATTTCCTGCAGTGAAGCAAACAGCGTTCTTCTGCTCCATCGCTCGCATCAATCACAGCTGCGCGCCCAACATGGAAATGGAGTGTACGCACCCGCCACATGGAGGAAAAATACTGCTGAAACTCGTCCGAAACGTACAGCAGGGAGAAGAGCTATGCATATCTTACGTCAAGGACTTGCCCCTCACGCAAAGACAGCTTAGGAGACAGAGGCTTGAAGAGTTTGGATTTGAATGCACTTGCCACTACTGCGCTAGCGGCCTGTAAACACTGTATCTTTACACGGCAGCAACAGCAGAGAAAACAGGTAGACCGGAGAACCCATCTCTCCCGTTGAACTGGTCTCTGCTGCTGCTGTGTTTGTTGCTGTTGCGGCGTACATTAGCACGAGAATAAACTGGCAAAAAGACAGACGCAAGCGAAGACTGAAAAAAGCCAGAATTTTCCAGGACCCCAAACCCTAACCCCGCGGCAGGTACACCCGTAGGGCTCAGGCTATATCCATCGAAAAAGGCACGGGAAATGGGGCGAAACTACGTCGCTGAACAATGTGAACTGCAGCAGCAGTGGCAGCTGCCGGAGCTGCTGTAACTTTCCATGCGAGGGGCGGGGAGCCGGAGGGGCGAATGGAGGCAACGCCAACAGCAGTGGGTTTTGCAGCAGCTGATAGCAAAACTGGGGCTGTTACTGGCGCTGTGACTTGGATTGCTGCTGCTTCTGGGACCGTAATCTAGGTAGCTAGCCAAGCATCAGCAGCTTCTGCTGATGTAACTCCACCGGCTTTCACTTATGTTGCGGCGTGTGTACAAGAGGAGGGGTTTCCGTAATGAAGAGGAACGGCTGCTGCTCCCGAATCCACTTGGCTAGCTGCTCCACCAGAGTCGTCGAAACATCTGAACTCAAACCACCATCCCTACACTGTAAAAACTCAGAAGCAGCAGCTCCCCGGACAAAAAAGCACTGACAGTGGCCTCCCTCGGGAGCGTTATTGGTTCTTTTTGCAGCTCCGTGCCTTGCTGCGGCAGCTGCGCGTTTGCCAGAGTTGGGTTGCAGCAGCAACAGCAGCAGCGGCACTTGCTGCAGCAACGGGCATAGCAGCAGCAGCAATTGTCTTACTGATCCATCTTGGGACGCAGCAGAAAAAGAAGAACTCCAGTGTCAACCACACGTACACTTTTTCGTCCTAACAGCGAACATCGAACCCTACGGCTTGGCCCTAAACCCTTGCCGCCAAATGCCGAACCCTAGCCAAACCTTGTGCCGAACACCTCATTCCTATCCCCTGCAGCTGGCAAGCCGAGCATCGCCAGCGGATGGTCTAGGCAGCTACACTCGAAACCCTTACCGTCGTCTCCACGAACGTGTGTGCTGGGCGCTTTGCGTTTCGTATCAACTCTGCAGCGCTTGCGTACAGCGTGTAGACGCTGCAGCAAGATACGCACACCCAAGATCTGCGTGATTAACCCTTACATTATAAGCGAAGGACCACAAAAGTCCGCAGTTGCCTGGCTCCAGGGTCTTGCTCTAGGGTTTGCGCTGTACGTGGTTGGAGGTTTGGGGCCTGCTACTATGGTTTAAGTTTAGGGCCGTTCTAACCGCTGCTGCTTTGAGAGGTCTGTTTTGTAGTCATCACCAAACGCAGACGAGAAGTATTGAGACAGCGAAGGCACGAAGAGGGCACAGTGCACCAACGCTATCTCGCCCCACAAGCATCGCGCTGCAGACAGCTCGATCACTCCAAGCCCAAAACCCCGAATCCTCAATCCCCACCTAGGGACCCTAAAGCCTAGGCCTGTGGGAATACAAAAGGCTGACATACGGTGGTTCTACTCACGCAGAGCATACGGGGCGTACTCCAGCGACGTCTCGATGGCGGCCAAACAGCCGGTGTTCGTCAGCATCTGCAACAAACACTCTATCGTACACCATAAAGCATAGAATTGGCTGAAAACCCAATCTGGAGTCAAGTGTCACCAGTAATGGAGGATCATTGGCCTTTAATCATAAAGCCCGAAGTCCCGAACCCTTTCCACAGGAGTACCGCGAAGAGTTTGTTGCAGTGGTTTGCGAGGTGATGAAATCTGATGGAGTCCGCTGGAGACGAGAGACAAACAAAGGCGAGGCGCGGCGTCAGGTAGCGAACGTAGGCGTGCAAGAACCCCCTGCATAAACAGAAAAAGCATGAGAACGGAGGCAGAAATGTGCACCCGGGACATGAAGATAGAGGCAATGCCGATGTGGCGGCGAGAGCAGACGAAATAGGTCAAACGACCTATCAGGGAGGCATCTAAAGATCACCAAAAAAGTGACGAAGCAGTCTAAGTAGTGAAAGAGGATAGCAAAACAGGGAGAGACGCTTGCGCAGCCAAGGCAGAATGGAACTCAGAAGGCAAGTGCAGGCACACAAAGACAAAGGCAGCCAAAACCAACGGGAGAAAACAAGCCTCTTGCCTGTCATTTATGCTAGGGAGACAGAGCGGAGTAAAACTCTCCAGCTGGCGCAGAGCCAAAGACGAACTCACAAAGTTTGTCAGCAAGCAGACATCTGCAAGCGGACATGAAAACCCCTGACCAACCAACCTGAAGTGCATGCGTGAATCCCAAATGGGAGCTGACCAAACGCACTGCACTCCGGACCATCCGTCCCAAAAGTAACCGTAAAGGCAGCGAAGTCGAGATAGTTTGGAAGCCTGCACAGGAGTGCGACTTTTGAATTAGGGTTTACCAGTGGGGCTGAGCTCGTATCCCTTAGCGTATGAGAGAGAAACAACGCGTTGTTCTGCCAGGAGCATCGACGCTCTGCACGCACACAAAGCCCTAAACCCTGAACTCCAGCTCCTTAGATCTATGCTGTGCCGACGCCCTCATAAGAAAGGTGTAAAAACCCTGAAGAAGAAAGCGGGGGAAGGCACACAGACCAACGCAGCGAACAACAACGCAAGCCAGCCTGAAGGGGCCAACAGCACGGAAGGTAAAAGGTGAAACGGGAAAAATGTTAAGACGTCAGCAAACAGAGGAAGATACAGATCCCAGAAATGACCACAGCGACTGAAGGGTGAAAATGGAAAAGCAGCAAAGCTGCAACACATGCAGAAATGCGCTGACAAGACATTTGGAGTGGGGCTGTTCTTCACTGCCGTCATGGCTATATGCCGCATCGTGCCGCTGAGGGGCAACGCCTCGAAGGCGCCACTAATCGAAAGGGCAGCAGACTGCTGCTCCTGCTGTTGCTGCTGTTGATGCAGCTGTTCGGCTGCAGTGCTAGGGGTGGCTGCTCCAGCGCCAGGGGCTGCAGTCGCCGCTGCAGTGCAGTTTGACTCCAGCAACATTGGTAGTAAAACGGAAAGCATGGAGTTGAAGTAGTGGCGATGAAGGCCACGAAAGATGCCGTCCGTGCCTGCAGCAACGACAGAGAAACGAAAAGAAAGATACCCCGGAAGCAGCAGATTCGCCATGATATGCAGCAGCTCAAGTCCTCACACAGCAGGTCAGCACCAAGTCCTAGAAGCAACACCAAAACAACCGCCAGCATTAACATCCATAACAGCAGCAGTAGCAGCCATACCGCCCATAAGAGGTCTGACATCAAAGCTCGGCCGAATAAGGAGAGTCCGTTCGACTTCTTTCGTCAGAATACATACCAGCTGTAGCACCAGCACCAAACACCAGCACCCCATGCTAGCAAACAGTGGGTTTAGGGCTTAGAATTCAAGTCTATTCAGCAACGACACCAGCAACAATTGCAGCAGCGCAACGGCAGCCAACGCAAATGAAGGCAACCAACAGAAGCAAACACCAGCAGCAACAGCCTGAAGACCTGTCTATGAAGCAGCATCAGATACGCCCTTGCTATGTTGTTGTTAATACTCCGTCGATCAAAGAGTGCCAAGTAGAATGGCCCCCGTGGGAGAAATACGAAGCGGCCTCCGAAACAACGGAAGTGACTGCAGCAAGTCCCGAACCCGAAACCCTAACCCATAGTCCTGGACTCTAAACCCTGGAGCTTGAACCCTAGGCCAGACAGTTTCAAACCTAGGCCGCACCCCAACGGCGAACTAAAAAGGATAGGAACGTTGCCTCTATAAACCGTGAAGAGAACATCGCAAACCCTGAACCGTAAAGTCTCACCGCACTATATCGGGAGGCTTGTCGCCGCGAAACCTTTCCAGCTTCGAAACGATTGCCGACAGCGTCCCTGAGAAATGCACCCACGCGCTTACCCCTGAACCCCGAAGCCTCAACTCCAAATCCTGAACCCAAGGCCCTGAGCCGGCAAACCCTACACTGTGGAGGCTGTTCATCTGGACAGCAGAAGCTCGTGGGCTTCACGCATGACTCCTACGAGGTGTAGACGTACCTGCAAAGGCGCCAAGGTTCTCTTCCTTGCCGTACCTGCGGAAAGATGCACAAAGCAGTCTCCACGCCTGCTGCTTCTGCTGCTGTTGCGGCTGTTGCGTTCGCCGCTGCCATGTTCATGTTCATCACTGTTGCTGTTGTTGACAACGTAGTAGGAGCGAGAGGTCCTAACACAGCTCGACAATTTACGGTTACGGGCTTACCGGGAGTAGACGGGTTTTCCTGAATAGGAGAAAATGAATGTATGCCGCTTATGCCGGTACCAGCTCGGGGTGCTGGCGTCTGCAGCCCACACACTCTACAGCTCAAACCCTGAAACATTAATCTGCAAATTACTAACGCCAACTGGGTTTTCTGAATGCATGATTTTCGAGCACAGAAACTCTGAATTTTAAGCCCGACGAAGCCCTCTATTCGTTTGCATGAGTGCATGCATACTGGCTCTGTATATGCAGGCTATAGGGCCAAAAGACGGTTTGACACCTTGGATCTGCAGATAAAAAATCAAGGGTTATGGTTTCGCTTGCCTTCTTCGGGGTGCTTCTTTGCTGCCGTTTGCTGGGCTGTTTGCTGCAGCTGGCCCCCGATGTCTGTCGCGTAGCCGAGACGAGTCTCCACCAGTTTATGGATTCCTGCCGCTGCCGTTGTTTCTGCCACACTTCGTGCTGCTGCAGCGGATGTTTCTCCCTCTGAGGTTGTTTCTGCCGTTAAGTCTGCTGCTGCCGCCGCTTCAGCAGCAGACTGTGCAGCTTCTGCAGCACCTCTCGTCTCAGTGTTGGCTGCCGATGAATCATGAGACTGGTCTTCCTTGCCTTGAAGCTGCTGCTTCTGCTGTTGCTGCGGTGGTAATCTATGCATAACTTGCACAGCCTCTGGGGTGGTTGAGGTCTGGTAGTGCGCCGTGCTGCTGGTGTTGCTTTTGCTGCTGCTGCTAGGCTCTGAGTTGCTACCTCCTCGAAGAGCTGCCTCGGCTGCTGCAACTGCAGCAGCAACGACAGCTGCTGCTGCTGCAGCACCTGGAGCAGCTGCCGCAGCAGCAGCGACTGTTTGTGCAGCTGCATCAGCATTGCTGCTTGCAGACTGAAGACCTTCGCAGCTGTGGGGTTCTTCTGTTACCTGCAGCTGGTGGGGCCGCTGCTGTTGCTGCTGTAAGCTTCCAGATATAACTCGGCTTGCTGCACTCCTTAGCATTCCCAAAGCTGACACAAGGTCTCCCCCGTTGCTGCTGTTGCCGCCACTGTTGGTGCACGCGTTACTGCTGCTACTGCGGCTGCCACTGAAGCTGCCGTCGGTGATGCCGTCACCGTCGACCTTGTTTACCCTGCTGCTGTTGCTACACTCTGCTGAAGCATTGATTTTGCCTGAATTTCCTCGAGGTCCCAAGGGGCTTGTGTCTTTACTGGTCGCTGTTGTGCTGCTGTCGCTGCTGCTGCTGCTTTCGCTGCTGCTAAAATTGCCGCTGGTGCCGTTTCCATGGGCCACAGCAGCAGCAGCAAAAGTATGAGAAGATGCTGGCGCAGGTGACTTTATGACTGGTGCTAGTTTTGCCGCTGCTCCTACTCCTGAAGCATGCGCAGGAGTCTCTTTCTTTTCGTCAGTACTGTTTTGGGTGCTGCTGGCGCAGGTCCCATTGATGCTTTTAAGCGCGTTCTGTTTTAATGCAGAGTCGTCCTCAAAGAAGCGCCAGACACTTGCGGCTGCAGCTGCTGCAGCTGCTCCTGCTGCCTCGGCCGCCGCTTCCAGTTTGTCTTGCGGATGCTGTGGCATGTTGCTGCTTCACGCTCCTTGAGCAAACTGAGTCGGACCTGTTGCAGGTCCTGTTGGGTCGGAAGGAAGCTCGGGCTTTGCTGCAACGGATAGTCAGGGGGGTGCGGCCGACTCCTCTGTGGTGCTGCTCCTGCTGTTGTTGCTACCGTTGCAGAAAGCAACTGCTCCGTGCGGCATAAAATTGCTTTCATCTGCTGCTGAAGTTGTTCCCCCCGTTATTCTGCTGCCTATGGCTGCTCTCAGTGCTGTTGAGCGTAGATGTGTTGTTGGTCTGTTGCTGCTGCTGCTGCAGTTTCAGTTACCTGCCCCCGTTGATGCTGCCACGCGACCTCTTCAATTATCTACTACAGTCAAAAGGCCAACGTAAAGAACAGAATACTGACAAATTGGTTGCTCATCGTGCCGCTTGGGCTGCAGCGCTTCCGTGCGCGGTTGCTGCAGGGGGCCCCGTCGGCAGCAGAGGTACAGACGCTGCTGCTTGTGTTCCTGCTGCAGTTGCGCCCACTGCCTCCGCCATCTGTTCGCAACTCATTTTTCAAGCGCATTATTTCGAAAGTGCATTCTGTCGGACCACATTAACAGTAGCAGGTCGTGCAGCGCGGGCAGCAGCGGTAGCAGCAAGAGCTTTGGCTAATGTTAGAACAAGTTTCTGCACTGCCACTTCTGCCACTTCTACCGGTAAAACAGTTTCTCTGCTACTCCTCTTGCAGCATCGGCTGCTTCCGGAGCAGTGGCAATGCCGGCCGCCTTGTTGAGGTCGACTGCTTGCTTGCGGCAGCAGGGGCAGCAGCACGGTAGGGAATTGCAGAACCAGAAGCAAGAGGATTTTTGCTCTACTGTCCTAGAGGCGGAGTTACTGCAGCTGCTCCGGCATTGCCGCGTGCAATTGGAACAGCTACAGCGCAATCCCGGTGTCGGTGTTGCTACTCCAGTTTGGAGCAGCAGCAATAACAGCAGCAGGAGGGAGGGCGATATTTTGGTGCCTTCGGAGTATGCTGTCAAGTCAGCTGCTGCCTGGGCGCGTCTACTACAGGTGAGTCGCCTTAGCTACTGCTTCTGCTGCTACTCAGATAGTTCCAGCTGCTGTTTGCGCTGCATGGTTTGTTCTGTTGCTGGTGCTGTTGGCGCTAATGCCGCTGCTCCTGTTCCTATCTGCATACGTGTATCGCCTGGTAGAGTCAGTTGGGTCTCCACTTCAGGCGGCGTGTTTGCTGCAGAACCTGCAAACCCTTATCTTGCTGCAACAGCGGCTGCAAAAGCAGCAAGAGCGGCACCAACAACAGCCCGAGGCATCAGCGCCAGAAGCTGCTGCTGCAGCAATAGCAGCGTTCGTTCAGGAAATGCAGCAGTTCTGCAACAATAAGAGCTGCTGCAACAGTATCCGAGGGACGTTGATGGCGCAGCTTCCAAAGAAAAGGGTGTACTGGGAGCAACAGGCAAAGGCACAGCACGAACAGCTGCTGCTGCAGCTAGTGGATCGGATGCTTGCGGATCTTGAACTGTGGGCAGAAGAAGCCCCAAGCGACGACGATGCAGCAGCATCCCCTGTACCAGCACAAGTAGCAGGAACGGAACAGCAACAGCGACGGCAGCGGCAGGTTGTTGCTGAGGAAAGGCATGATATTTTGCTTCTGGAGGATCGTAGAAACCGGGAGCTGCTGCTCCCGCGCGACAGCATTCCCATGAGAAAAGAACCAGCAGCCTTTGTTGCTTCTCCCGCTGCACCACGAGCAGAATCAGCAGTTTCCGACAACCAGCTAGAGGAGCACCTGCTCGACACAGCCAGTGAAATGAAGCAAGGAGCCTTGATGTTCAAGGAGCGACTACAGAAAGACAACATTCTTTTGCAACGAACGGCAGCAACACAAGAAACTTTGCAGCAGCAGCAGCAACGGGGCTTAGATGCTGCTAGGAAGCTACTACGCGTCTCCTTTTTCTCCTCGCTTATGCCTTTACTCCAGTTAGCCATATCTCTGGCTGTCACTGTAGCCATGATTTCATTCATCCTCGCCACTCCTGGATAGGTAGTGTGCTGACTAGCTTGCGGTTACAGGGGGCCAGCCTTGAGCTGAACTAGCTAGCGAGCTAGCCGTCCGCCCAGAGAGCTGGCCAGGAAGGCAGCTAGCCATCTCGGAAGTAGCTGGGTAGCTGGCTGATTTGATAAACTGGTGATGAAGTTGTGAGAGCAGCCAGATGGCGACTAGAGGAGGCGAAGCAACAACGATGGAGACAGAGGGACAGCGGCGAGCGATGGAGAAATATTCGAAAGTAATGAACAGCTGGAGAAAAAAAGGCAATTAACGAAGAACACTGTCCCTCTTTCAACTGGATCAGGCACAGACAGGAACTGAAGGACCGAAGGGCCCTGTCTCGCTTTCAACTGGCTCAGACAGATAGCAAAAGTATCTGGAGCAGAAAAGGAAGGCGCCCAGAGACAGCGCCCGCGAGAAAGAAGGCCTATCGCGCTGTATGGAAGCAGCACCAGAGGCCCAAGGCACAAGGTGACCGAGACGAGAAGAGATGAACCAATATATAGCGCGCAGGAGGGGAAACAATAACTGAAGGGATGCGCTTCATGCGGGTGCATGCAACAGCAGGCCACGGCGATACCTGGCTAACTGTCGTCACCAAGGTTTGACACTAGCACGCAGTTATTGTTGCTTTTGCTGCTTTCCTTATTTTGCTACTACGCATGCAACTCCTTCCGTACCTGACAGACAATACAGTGCACCACCTCCGACCTCCCGGCTAGCATGTACTCATGCTTCATGTTTTGTTTGCTGCTTTTCATCAACCGCAGAAGGAGCAGCAGCTGCAGTAGCGTGCTTTCTGGGGAGCTGGTTAGGCAGTGAAAGGCTGGTTTTTTTCTCCGTTTCTCTGGGCTTAACAGGTCTCGAGGGGTTTGCTGCCCCCTTTCGTGTGTTTTTGCCTTCCTGAGCCTGCCAGATAAACTGCGTGTTCTTTCTCTTTTGATGCTGTTTCCGCCGCCTCTATTTCCTTATGTTGGAGCATACCTGGCGGTTGTTTGTCTCCATAGCTATTTTTTCGCCCTTGGCCTCCATGCAGTTCATGCCTCGCGTTGTAGGACTGTCCCTTTCTGTCTGCGCTCACGCGTGGCATTGGTCCTTTTGAGCAAGCCCGCAGTGAATTCTGAGGTCAAAAAGGCCTGTCAGGTGCCCAGAGGCCATGATCGTGGGCATCGCGAACAGAGCAGGGAAGAGGCAACTAGCGCAGGTTCGTAAAAGGCCATCCAGTTACGGGGTCTGTGAATGCCCATGCCAATACAAATTCCCAAGCCGACTTATTCCACCACATGGCAGCACGGCTGTGACGGGGAGTTGCTTGCCAACCAGCTAGCCACACGAAGGGTTAGCCGGGTAGCCTAGCAGCCTTCAGGAGAACCGTCCGCTGAGCTGGTCAGGGCGTATCAACGGCTAGATGCTCGAAAGTCAAGCCGAGGGCCTTCAGAAGATGAGGCGTCACAACCAACGAGACGCAGCATTTTCCTTGAAAGGTTTCCAGATTTTTCGGTAAACAGTTGTCGATGCTGATGCTGCAGCTTTTATGGCCGTTGGCGGGTGACGCCCCGTTGCTTGGCATAGTCTGATTCCCAATTCTGAAATCCCCGTGCGTACAAGCTGCAGTATTTCTTCATGCTGCCGCAGCATTGCCTTCTGGCTTTGCTGCAACGTCTTGCGAATGTGGGGGGCTTATGGCGCACTACTGAGTTTGTCGATGAGCACCTACAACAGCTTCTCCTCCTGTCTTTGATTGATGGCGCTGGGAGAGCAGCATCTCCTCACATCTGCCAAGACTGAAAAAAGAGCTGCACAGGATCTGCTGGACAGCAGCAACACGAGTGTCAGCTGCTGTTGCTGTGCCGTATTCCGCACAAATTCAGATTGCCTTTCAGACATCGCTCGGTATTTAAACGCCAGCTCCGGCAATTCCTGCAGGAACCGCAACAACAGTAACAGTGGGAGATGCAGCTTTAGGAAGAAAACTAGGCCTTCAGTTAGAATTCCGATCCCATGCAGATTTCCAGCGTGCGGGAAGCGCTAGACTGTACCGGCAACGCAAGGAACAACACCAGCAGCACCTGCCGAAACAGCAGCAACAGCCGGTGCACCGGCGAGCAAAATGAAATGCCGATGAATGCCTCAACAGCAGTTTAAGGAACTTCGAACAATGGCTGCTACTGAGGACATTAGAACTTAAAAAGTCCATGTGGGTGGGTGGTCTGCATTCAGCGGTGGCTGTGGTAGTCTACTGGTAATGTTGCAGCAGCGCTGCACTGCTGGCGCGTGGGAAGACCCGAAAGAAGCAGCAACAAAACTCTTCTTCTGCAACTTCAGCAGCGCCTTGCGGCATTTCACCACCTGCTCCAATAAGCCAGCGTCATTGGGGTCAACAAATTCTGGCTGCAGCTGCACAGCAAACGGCATCAACTGACTGCCGTCGTTTAAGATGTACGGCTGCATCTGCAAAGCTTTGGTGACCTGTTTCAACTGGTAGCGCAGCTCTTATAGCTACTGTTGCAGTTGCTGCATCTTAAGGTTGTTGATATGCAAGAACAGCCACGGGATATCCAAGAGTGCAGCTGTTTGGGGATACGTTGCTGCTGGCCGTCTGGCAGCTGATACCTCCTCGTGGAGAGCCGTTTCTGCTGCTGCTGCTGCTGCCGGTTTTGTTGCGCAGTCTGTCTCAAACCACTCCAATTGACACAGTATATCCTCTAACATACCTTACAACTCCCTAACTTTGTGCACTTGGGTTTGTTCATGCACATAATGCCGGGTGGTGGAACGCCCCATTTGCACGGTAAGAAGTTAAGGCAATTCGTCAGCTCTTGCTGCTGCTGCTGCGCGAAAAGTCCAACCTGTCTTTCCCGCCTGTGCCTTTGCCTCTTTCGCATCTGTCTGTTCCTCTGCTCTTGCCTTAGCTGCTTCTGCTGCTGTTGGTGCTCCTGCCTGAGCTGCCTCGCCACTTGGGAATGTTCCTCACGAAGCTTTGATGATAACGGCTGAATATTAATCCTGCTGCAAACACACACAAATTGCAAGTCACATGCGAAGTGTACGATTGAGGTGCATGCTTCACTAGACTGGAGAAGCTCGCCTCTTCTCCATGCCTTTTCCTAATCGTCTTTCAATGCTTTCACAGCCTGCAGGAGCAACAGCAACACCAACAACACCACAGCGGCAACGGGTCTTCCATGCTCTTTGCATTATATAACCCTTGCCATAAAGAACGGGAGTAGCACTTTTGCCCCGGTAGTTTGAGCATCAGCAACAACATTAATGGCGAAAAGAGTATTAAGCACTAGCATCACCAGCATCGTCCACACCAAAGCGCTGACAAACCGGCAGAACAAGCAATAGCAGAATTTGAAGCCCACCCTCAGAAGGGCTTTCCATGACTCGGGTCGCTCCACACTGTACAATGTTGGCCACGTTATTCGATTTCGGTTTCTTCCGTTTCTGTTGTAAAGGCTGCGGCCGTCAGGCAGGTGGACCGTAGTTACCTCGTCGTCAGCTGCATAGTCGGCAGCGCTTTCGTGCTACACCTGCAGCAGACTTTTCCGGCACAGCTGCAGAATGCTTTGCAGGCTCCGATTGGATGAAAGGAAGAGCAGCCAACGCCAGTGCTGCTGTTGCTTTCCTTGCAGCCGCTGGAGGTGCAGCAATCGAAGAACATTTAGTTCTGCCAAGAGACATGGTATTTCAGCCAAGGCCCCCTCTGCCGAATCTGCTGTTTGTTTTGTCTCAAAGCCGAGGGCAAAGCCAGTCTCCAGCGAACTGCTTGTCATTGCGGCCATTACCGCTTCTCCCACTCCTTGTACTGCCGCCACCCCCCTTTGTTCCTGCTTCTACCGTGTAAGAATGGACAAAAAGACTAAAAACTGGTTTTGTCTGGCCAGTTTGTGGAGGCTGGACTGGGCAACAGCAGCAGCTCCAGATCATCCGGCCCAGCCACAACGTCAGCGGTCGCAGCAGCAAACAAAAACAATATAACAACAAAAATGTTAAGGGAGGTAGTAAGCTAAATATTGTTGAAACCGTTGTATTTAAATCTTTGATGTATAGTTTCGTTGAAGTAGGTGCTTGTCCTGGGCGTGTGTTTCTTGCGCTGCAACTGGTGCTCGGGCGGTCGTGCATTGCAGTGACCAGATGGTCGGTTCCTCGAGCCGCATGGCTTCTCAAGCCATGGAATAGGAGAAACCGATTGAAGACAGGCATGCTATGAATCAAGGGAACAAAAACTGCTTGTTTCTTCCATTTTACCTCTTCAACTAGTCCCCAGACACCCATGCTATGCGGAACGCAGCGCCGGAGCTGGAAAGGTTATTCAGCAGCTACGACAATAATTTGCTTCAAGACCCTCGGCAAACTGAATCGATAAAGACGGCTGTGAAGGCCTGAACGCAGACTCATGAATGGACAGTTTGGCCTGTGGTCAGGCTCAATTGGGGAAACTCCCGCCTTAAACGATGCGTACGTCTGAAGTGTAGTTGGGCTTGTTGGTTTGTTTTGTTGTGGCAGTCATCCTCACCGTAGCATTGTGTATATCTCTCTGCCACTATGAATGCAATTCGTATAATCCCTAATGCCAAATTTTTGGTGGCGAACAGCTCATGTCAAGTGAGTCTGCTTTAGGGCAGTCGCCAGCGGCAGTAGAGTCACAATGTCCAAAACCACAGTTGCTCAGAAAGGAGGTGTCCTCCTGTCCAGTCTTCAGGCTTCCTGAGCAAGGCAGGGCAGGGTCCTGAGGTTAGTGGGAAGTCCTTGGCTACAGCTTCCTGCTGCAACTCCTGCCGCAACAGCAATCCCAAATTCAAGCATACCTAAACTTCCTCCCAAAACATGCTCGGACACCTTTTTCTATTGTCGCAAACCCTTTCTTGGGTCCAAGCAGCCAAAATTCACACAATTGTGGGTCTGCGCAACTACTTCTGACAAACCCTTCTACAGTTGAGCTGCATATTATTTGCCTCACCGAGTATTACTATTATGGGGGATCAATGCGCTACAGGCTGTGCAAAGAACGACGCTTTAGGTGGCCATTATGCATGAACCTTGGACGTGTGCATAACTGAAGGGCAACCTACCTTAGTACTAACCCTTCAATCCTGGTAGTTCTTACCGTTCGATTCTACTTAGGATATGTCTGCGTAGGTTTCCAGGTTGGTTTTTCTAAGTAACCAGACAATGCATGGAAACCACATTTTCTTGGTAAGGCATCGTCGAGACTTTTGGCAGGTCGTGGGGCGTCGCTGCTAAATTTGTTCGCTGGCTGGACACGCGCGAGCTCCACTCAAAATGCAAGCGCTGTTAAATTTGTTATTCCATGCAGTTCAGAAAATTAACTGCTTTCTGATGCTTCGAACGTTCTCGTGGACACGGCATGTCTCTGCCCAACATCTTTTGAGCGTATGCTGAGGACTGTAGACTGGACTGTTTTGCTGTTTTTTACTGCGGCTGTACATCTTCCTCTTAACCAGGATTATCCCTGCAGCACGCTGCCATTCGAAAAAATCGTTTTTCTAATTCTTACTCTCAAACTTATTCCTAAGGATATACCTGCAACTGCACAGAATATGACAGACGAGGTGGAGTACGACGCTACACTAGATCCAGCATTGGGTCTACGGCTAGTATGTTTATTTTTCTCCACCCCAGCATTGGGGCATGGTGAAGTAGAGACACAGAGACACGCACACACGCAAAGGCCCAGTTGAATGTCATTTTTGGATGCATGTCGCACCGCTGTAGAGAAAAATGCTGCTTCTGAATAGCTTAAAAAGGAAGCTCTCTCCGTCCAAAGCAAGAAGCATGGCCTGCCGGTCTCCGAAAGATTGGCATACAGGAGTAGTCAGCCTTCAGAGATTCTATGCATAATTTCCAACCGACGTGTGGAGAATGGGCCATTCCGCACTCCTCCCAAGTACTGAAATCAAGACTAAGCAGAGCCCACACGATATAATGCGTCACTTCGCATGTCCCACTAGTGATAAAAGAAACCTTGATCGCTGAAAATTTTAAACAAGAATAAGAAGGGAGCCCGCAAGCCATCATTCACAAAGACGCAAACGTGATATTAGGCAAATCATGGGTAAAGCAACGCGCGAACGGCAAACTCGAGCAAGGTCATAAACACAGCACAAGAGATTTGTAACGGGCCTAAACCATCAAACGAACGAGGCTAGTGCGCATTTCCAGTCGTGCGCGATGTGATCAAACATGCTCACGTAGCTTTGCTAGACTACGCTATCTTGGAAGCTGATACACGAGCAAACGTCACAAACGCCTTCGCTTTTGAAGTCTCCACTCGTCGTCTTGCTCCTTGAAGATTCTCCAGCCGCCCCTCTGAAACTTGCGTATCAAGCCACTACATAAGATTTCCTGTTTTAAAGGAACTAGCACTGCCGGCGAGGGGCGAGCGCCAGATCGGAATATCTCGAAAGCGTCTTTAATCCTTTCTGCTAAGGATAGAAGCTTCCTGCTCGCCCCACGCGGATGCGCTTGCGATCCTAGGACAAACTGAGTGGGAAGCTCAGCCATAATCCTGTTCCACCAAGTACAGCTTTGCGCCGACTCACCCAAGGTTGCACTTGCAGCATACAACGAATCTACAACCAGCAGGTAAAGCGCCAGTGTCTCTACCGCAAACACAGGTCTCACAACCTTGAGGGAACGCTTCACATTATGCATTGCGAACCCAACGAGTTCCTCTAAACAGCCCATTAGCACATTTGAGCGAAGTGAGTTGAGCGCCTCCATCTTGAGCCACGAGCTGATGTGTGCGAGGGGGCGAAGCGGGGAAACAACTGTCCCGGAGGCTGCAAGTGCAAATTCCATATTGAAGGTCCTCGGAACCACCCCGGGAAGCAACTGAGAGGTTCTGTAGAAAGGGTGGCTGCATAGGTCGACCCCAGGTACAGGTGCACTTTTCAGTGAGCCACTTTCACGAGGGGAAGGAGAAAAATTCGGTTGCTGCTGTTCATAAGGAGAAAAAGCCGCTTTTGGCCGTTCATCATATGAGTAATACACCTGAAGGAAGGAGAACGGAGCGTTGAGAGAAAAGCGATTCAAAAACTAGATGGCTGACACTGCAAGGGAAGCTTTTAGCGGCATATGCGGCATATGTAACGGACACAACCACGGATCAAATTTGTAAACCCTCTTACTAAGGCTACTATTCACGTTGATAGGTTGCATGTAAATGACAGCAAAGAGAACCAAAAGGCCCCCTACCTGCAGGCCAGAGTCTTTCGGTTCAATCACGTGACTACTCGGCCCTTGTATTGCACCTGCGGAAAGGCAGAGGCAAAATACCCCGCTTTCTGCTTTTGTTGGTGCCACATGACTACATCGCCCACTACCTCTGGCCCTATTTCATCCATATTGCGTGTAAACGCTAATGACAACCGAACGTAACACTGCACCGGCCAGTGAGAATGAGCAACTTCACCTGATATTCTCCCATGCTCCGTCTGCTCCTGGAGGCTGACGGATGGATTTATGCTTGCGCACCAATGACTGAAAATGCGAGGATCCCGCAGATGCGGTGCGGTTGAAGGCTGCTGCATTTGTGTTACTGTGGCCCAAGCTGTCTGCGACAGGTGTTGGTCCATGCCTGCACTGGCCGCGCTAGAAGTCCCGGCAAGTGGAATTGTAACTGTGGTTGCACGAATCGTGCCATCCATACACATGCTTGTCTCTGTTTCTGGACAGCCCTGAGAAAAAAGTGTCTCTCCAGCTTCCTCACCTTCGAAGAGTATGCCTGTAGGCAACTGCAATCCAGGATCCAGTAGCCACGGTTCCATTTTCAAGGTGGTTCCGCCAGCCAGAGCTTCCTCGATGAAATCTTCCAATTGCGCGCTTAGGTCTTCCCCCGTAATCGCACCTTCTACATCCGCTGTTTTCTTCTGCATCTTCGAGAGCCTTTGAAGGTCTTCTTCGTCTGCGTTTTCCCACAATCTCTTAAAACCATGTCCTGCTGGACGCGCATCCATCTCACTCGGCCTTGCAATCGTGAATGAAGGCGAGCTATACGGCTGCTCAGATGAACCTTGGCGGGCATCATTCAACCATTCGCACGGCGGTAAATCATCTTTTCCCATCCCGTCTCCGCGTCCCCGTTGCTGTTTGTCAGCCAACCGGCGATGTCGATGCAGCCAAGAAGCGTGTTCACGGCGAATATATGCGAAGCAATGTATAGCAAAGAAAACTATGGCAAAGAGAGAAATAAAAGATATCCCCCCGTGAAAAAGGGATTTGCGCGCCTGTCCGGGTGGATGGGGATCTCTCCGTTCACCATGTAGAACTCTAAGTCGTTTGTTTCCCCTCCGTTGCCTGCCAGGAACGGGAGGCAAGTCTTCCAAACATCCCCAACTTTGCTGCACTGATTGCGAAGCAGAAGCCAGCATTGGGCAAAGGAATGACATCTAGAAAAGCAAAAGACTAAGCACAGTAGCAGGCGTGAGCGCTTCAACGAACACAGAGGGGCACCAACAAAAGGTTTTCTTGTTCTTCTTCTAAAGGATGGCTAGTTTAAGCAGCTCCCATTAGATGAAGAACTATGTGGTAACGGCTGGGGGAGAATATCTACGGATCAGCTAGGACTGTGGAGAAAACTACACCGCTGAGACAAGGGTAACAGAAAGAACTTTTCCATAGGTTATGCGCTGAAGACAAATTTGCCCGGCATTCAGGAAAGGTTAGTCACAAGTTTTACCCGAATGCTCGTTGTTTGGCCGCTTTTTGAGTGGTTGTGCAGACCACTAGCAACCCGCTGGCCAATGTATGGTAGCATCGCCTAGCCACATCAGTGTGTCTTCTACAGCGTGAGAGGATGGAACTCACCGCGTCATCCTCTCAGCGACAACCATCTGAGTAGAGATAAGCGCAAATGCAGTATGCAGGGAAATATTGGGACTCTTTTCCCGTGTAGGCAAGGATGTGGCCAGAGTGACCGCGCGCACGCAGCGGTTCGTCTAGTCGAGCTACGGGCGACTAGTTTTGGCAGCAACATAAGCAAGGTACACACCTATTTTTATCTATACCATGGATATCTGAACACTCTTTAAATGCATTTAGCCCTCCCTCTGTCTTCGCCCCTGTCTGTTTCGCCGCGCAGATGGAGACAGCTCCTGAAGACAATGAGCCCCCGAGGTCAATCCACATATATCCTTTCATTGTTCCTCTTTACTACTTGCTTGAGTTTCATTTCTCCCGGTGTGCTGCACCACTGACAAACCCCATGCGCGACAATCGAGAGAAGTAGGTGAACCGTTACTGCTTGGAGCCCCTCTGCTGTGTGTGAATTATTGAGCGTTTCCTGACTGATGGGGAACAGCCAGGCCTAGCAGAGGGTGCAGCAGAGACCTACAGTATGGAAGCTGTTTGGTTTTTGCTTTTGACCGTCGCGTGATACAATGGAGCTAACGACTTAAGAAAGAAGCTCCATAAGAGCATCTGACCTACCCTGCACTTCTCAGACGTCCTAAGCACAGCGGTTCAAGAGCCTGGGTTTGCTGCTAAGAAGCGCTGCAGCACACCTTCTTGGAACTAGTGCTGCAAGGCAACTTCAATTGCAAGCGGAGCCACGTTCGTATTGCTGTACTGCTACATACACCGACACTGCAGATGTTATTGTTAAACACTGTAAAACTGCCTGCAAGCAACTAGAGGCACGCGAACCGACTTGACACAGAGCATGTTACAGTTAGACTCTGACAAACACCGTATGGGGAACGGATGGCCATGGATCGAGGATTTGGTATTCATGTTCTCGGGTACATAGGACACCAGGTTTTCTGTCGTTGCTGTTCAGATCATTACTCAAAGCATTGATATTGGAGTGCACTAATGACCTGTACTTAAGATAATTTGGTCCTAGAAAGACCACCACTTGCGGAACAGAGCACAGAAGCAGAGTTGGTGGGCAGTGGGGACACAGAATCTTCAATACCAAGAAGGCTGTAAACCGTCTTCTCCAACTACATTGAAATTTCGTGGGTGCGCCTGTCTTACAATAGTGCTACCCTGCTTGCGGGGCGTGTGTTTTTCAGCGTCCTTCGGCGTGCCTAATTTTTACCCTACTGTCTTCTTGCTCCGGAAAAGCTTTTTGGTGATGCCAACATAAACCTGTAGGGACCATCGTTAGCACGGTGCTGCAGTGCCGTGGAATGACATTTCTAATAATATGAGAAAGATGGGTGCGCATCGAAAGTTCACGTGGTTCTCTATTCTGCAGTCAGGGTGGTGAACAGTGTGTTACAGGCAATCTACTTTCAATGGCGCGGCAAAGCTCGCACAGCTGAAGCATGCAAGATCGAAGCCACAGTCGAAATACAGCCTAGACTCGTCATCTCATTAAAGGTGTGAAGGGCAACGGTCGTCGTACACCCTCTTCATACCGGCAGGGGAATTCTTTCTCCCCTATGCGCCTTCGCTGAAGCTGAACGGTGATGTGCACCCTAGTTTCCTAAGAAACCAACTGATGAGCTCTGCATCCAGGAAGGCCATAATATTAGTCCCATGCTGTGGGTTACAACTTTCCTACAATTCGTGTGGCATTCAAAAAAGGCACAAAAACGTTCTAAAGCATCATGCAGCATACTCTGCGCACAGTTGAAACACAGGTTTTGCACACAAGCCCATGCAGGACAAAACCTCTGCGAAGCCCCTGATGCGGCCAGAATTAAGACATCAAAATATGGAGTAGGAACCCGCAGTGATAATAGTTTAAGAAGTGATATTGGGGGGTATAGGAAGTTCATCTCTGTGCCAGGGAGTAACGATGGAACGCAGTACTTTGTACAAGATAGCATTTGGGGACGGCAAATCCTTCTGAGGGCATCAAGAGAGGGTAGCACGCTTCCCTATATATAATAAAGGCAACCGGATCCCTATACAAAATAGGCAAGGCTTGCCAATAAAGAAGGAACAATGACCGTTTTACTTGGCTAGTTGCTTGAATGCCTTTCGATGTAACAAGCCGCATCAGGCCCCTCATGTACAGATTTGATTTCAGCTTGACCCCCCGGAACAGATCCTGGCTTGCGCGTTTTGCTTTCTTCTTTCTACAGAAGACGCTGTCAGCACGCTTTCGTCTTTCCCCGAAGGATTCCATGTTGCAGTACTGCACGTACGTGCTGCAGGACGTGCACATAGAACCGCCGTTTAAGGCGGCCTCTTGCTGCGCGCACAGATCTCGGGGGCTCCAGGTAGGATTCATCAAATCCCAACATTTTAAAGCCGTTTACTGTGGTTGGCCGGTTTATTGATTATTTGCTTCTACGAAACTGTGCACAGTTTGCAGCCACCCATGTTTTAAATGCGGCATTCCAGCCACGCAGAGAAGCTGCGCAATAGAGCTCCCTAACAACAAGAAACTCATTCCCAAGCACTTCAACACATTTTCGAGGAAATTTGCCTTCCACATACTAGGAAGCCGCGGTGCAACATGGTTACCATAGGTCTCTACAAGCTGATGAAGCCAGGGTTGAAATATGTTCAATTTCCACATTTGTGATACCTCCATGGGGCATTTACATCATGCTGCTTGTCACTGACTCCAGGAGTTACAGAATGTTGTTTTTTATGTTGGCGGCTGCGGATTCGCGTGTAGTCGTTTCAAGTGGCACCCCCAGCGACTAAACTAGACTGCTTAGAAGCCGCACAAAATGCCATTGGCAGTGGCACAGGCAGACATGCAAACCCACGTGAGTTCTCCCAAACAAGGAAGTCAGTAAATAGGAAGAGTATGGCAACATGGAGGTGAGGAAGTGGGGAGAAGCACGAGAGTGTGGCATGCCGTGAAGACAGCCTGTTCCAAACATCCATTGGGCCCAGAAAGTCCCACCTTGTTACACACTGTGGAGGCCACGTCGCCCCTGAGCGAGGCCGAGTGCAATCATGACTGGGGCAAACCTCCGAGAGTGTTGTTCGTTCCAGTTCCACGGAGTGAAGTCCCTTTTGCATCATGCATAGCAGGTGCGTTAGCAAGGCGGTAGCTAGCAAGGCTTAGTGGCGATGCAGACAGTGGGTCAGCAACAGGCAATCCTAAAGCAAAGCATTGGGTTAAGGATATACCACTCCAGTACCTGGGTCCTTTGTGAGCATGCCGTGTCGTCAAGACTCAGTGCAATCTTACCATGTTCTTATGGGTTGCCATCGTCTCACTTCTGTCAAGCCAGTGAGGATGTGCTAATGCTTGGCTTGTCTGCGCTCTCAGAATGTGGGAGTGGTTCGTCGACAGCCCCTGGAGAGGAAGGTTCATAAATCAGAAGTGAAAGGCCTACGGTGTCAGAAAAATTGCCACTCGATCCCTCATCTGCGCCGTTCCCAAGCACCTCGACTTGATGCACCCCTCCTGCTGCCTCCATCAAGCGTTTACTATACTGGTGGAGCGTAGAAAAAATTGGGGCTGGCAGTAATACAGCTGCATTCCCCACATCAGCAGCAGTATCTCTTTCGCAGTCGAATGCATTTTCATCTATTGACTAAATTCGCTGACACCGCTATATTTTCAAAGACCTTGTTTGTGAAATGGACCTCAAGACGAATATGGGCATTAATAAGGCGTTGGATCTCGGGCCGTTGCAGCTAGCTAGAATGGCCATCCAATGTTGTACAGGCTTATTCTGAGGGTGCAATGAGTACATGCTGCATCTACCAATTGCCGCAGCAAAAGGTATTGAGGCTAGGCGCCATCCAGACAAGATCTGGAAGAACCCACGTACGGCATGGGTCCAAGGAGATAGCTTGTATCCAGAATAGTCGCCTAAATTTTCTCATGGAAGAAGCCGTCTCATGATTAAGCGCTTCCGCCTTTACCGCACAGCCGTTGCTTCATATTCCAGCGCCGAAAGGCCCTGTCCACTTCTGTTCGCTTTGTTTCAGGACTGCTATGCCACTCCCGAGAGTT